ATTGTAAAACCAAAAGGAAATATATTACATTTTAAATAGTCTTGGTAGAGAAAATATTAAATTTTGAGATGAAGAGGAAAATAATTAAATCTTCCTGACATTCAAATGTTACTCTAGAAAATATTTAGTGCATTTGCTAGTTTCTGTGGCAAAGAAAAGCATGTAACAAACCCTTTAATAAATGTGTTAAGCAATAATTATAGAGGTCTTGAATAGATGCCAATTATATATACATTATCCTGCTACTAGCCAGCTGTCTGTCTGTCTGAATGGGCAAAGCACAAGTCAGAAGACACCCTTCCTGGAGTCTGTAGTTTAGTTAGGGCAGAAGAGACAGTCGGTAAACACAGGCAGTTTTATGGATAAATGCTGAATTCAAGTGATAAGAACTTGTGTAGAAACAGAAGGGTAGGAAAATCCCCTTTGTAATTGGAGATGTGGCCAGATTGGAAGACTTTAATCAGAAGAGTCCAGGTTCTTGAAGCACAAGGAGAAATTAAACAGGTGGGCTAGGTACGGGTAGTACTCACTGTGGAAGGAAAACCGCGTTCAGAAGAAGGAAACTCTCAGGGTATATGCTTCCTTAGAGACTCTTCATAGAATCAGAACAGAGAATTTCTTCAGAAGGCCACACAATACATGGAATTACCCAGATGCTTTTTAAAACTTCTGCTATCTTGGTACCTTTCTTGAGGGATTCTGATGAGAATCAATCACAAGGATATTTACCTTTAATAAAGGTCTCCCAGGTGAATCTAATGGGAGAGTTGGTCTATTGAGAACCATGTATTTCAGAACTGTTTGGAGTCAGATACACCTAGGTTCAAATCCTAGGCCTTCCCTTTACTTATTTGCAATGATGGGCACATAATTTCTCTGAGCTTTTATCTGCAAAATGGGTACAATAATATAAACCTGACAGGACAGTAATTCACTCCAGTATGGATTCAAATTAGCTGAATGTGGTGCTGTACATGTGTAATCCCAGCACTCAGGAGGGTGAGGCAAGAGAATTGCTGTGAGTTTAAGACAAGCCTGGACTATATAGTAAGACCCTGTCTCGAAAAAATAGAAAAAAAACAAAAAAGAATATCTACCATATGCCAGGCATTGGTCTGTGTTCTGGGGGTTTAGAAGAAAACTAAGATCCCCATTCTACCCTTACCCATTCCAACCCTCAAAAAAAGAAAAAGAAGAACAACATTCAGTTATAAGAATTAAACACAGTATCATGGTAAAGCACTTAGTACAGTGTTGGCACTTAACAAGTAGGAAATTGATAGTGATGATCATACTTGTATTAACTAGGATCATAATGTGAAATTGAATAATATTTCCATTTATAATGAAGCCTGATTGTCTTGAAAGGAAAAGAACATCTCATTTAAAAACAAATAAATGATTAACCCATAAACACTATAAGAATTAGCGAATTTGCAGTTTGTTTTTCTTTGTTGAGGGTTCACTGGCAGAAAGGCAGTTATAAACAACAACCTTCTTTATGCCTTCCAAGAACAATGATATCTGTAAATCATTATCAGAAAGATGTAGTCAGTATCAAATGCACTAATTACATAGTGTGTGGGTTCTTTAGAAAACATAGGTGCTGCTTAATAATGCCATTGCATTAATACTGTCTTTGAGATTCTGCAGAACCCTCTGTGGGGTAGCTTTTGAAATGGAGGGCTGGCCTTCCAATAGTTGGAGTGTTTTCCTAATCCGATTAGGGCCCTCTCTGCCAGTGACCTGCTTCTCACAAGATGCTCTTTGAAAAATGGATGCAACGAAAGCAACATAACAAATTCAAAGGAAGCCAAGGAATATTGTACTTTCTTCTTTCCATCCTCTCTCCTTCCCTATCCTCCTCTCCCCTTTTCTTTTCCTCTCTTCTCTTTTTTGGACCAGCTTTTGGAGTGAAGTTTTAAAGAATAGAGGTATTGTTAACCAGTTGTTTGTTTTATTTAACCAGCAAGGGAAGAATCCAAGATAAACATTTCTGGATAGTAGACATTTTAGATTTTTAAAAGCTGCTACAGACTTGGGGACAGTACCCTAAATGTTTCAGATTTGAATTTGCTCTGGTGAATTGTTAGAAAATCAATTTATGTGATGACTCTGTAGAAACAGTTCACAGGGAAGATTGTCACAAGTTAATAGGATCAATATCTGTGTATAATAAAAGCATTTTATCTGCAATGTGCAATAGCTGCCTTACATGAATTTGCAGATTTTCTGTGTATTTTTATGAAGCTTTACAAAGCTGAATTTTATTGGTCCACTGGTCTTATTTGCTAAAGTAAGAATTCTTTTCTTCCTGTCAAATAAGCTTGTAAATTTTGCGTTTGTTTTTAAGTATTTATAATGGATTATATATAGTGACATAGACAAGTCAGTAACTTTATAAATTGAACAGAAATATACTGTGTATAAGTACATATTAGCTCGTAACAGTGGAATGCAAAGAGGAATATTAACCAGCTTCCGTTCTCTATAATCTAGTCTTTTAGTTCTCTCTGCTAAAATTTCTCATAATTTTAAGTATCTAATGTAAGACATTAAGAGTGCTGCTCTGGCTGGATTTTTCAAATACTATGTCTGTGACAGGGTACAGATTTATCCTTAATATTCTTGAGTGAAAATGCCATATTAATTATAGAAGTCAACCTTTGTGTCATGTGCAGCCAGTGATCAGTGACCAGCGTTAGATCAGCTGCTGCTGTAGTAGCTGCTAGTGGGCAGACAGCCTTAGGCCCCAGTTTCCAACAGAGTGTTGGTTATTAATGTGTGGCACACGCAGACCATGTCCTGTGTCTGAGGGTAGCTGCCTTGGGTGGGCACGGCATGGCGATTAGAGGTGATACTTTAGGCCACTTCACTGAGAAGAGCCATTGGGCTGGCAAGTAGCTCACCACAGCATAGAAACCTGTATGCTTCAAGGTCTGATTATACTAATTTGAAAATATCCTCCCCAGTGAGTCACATTATGCGTTCTATGTTCTCTTGTTTACCTTCTGGAAGCTGCAAAGCTTTTTGTCTCAAAACAATTTGTGAGGCCAAGAGAATAGTGAATCTGCTGGGATAGTCGTGCTGAACCTTGGCAGCTTTGGCCTGGATCATTCTTTGCTGTCGGGGGTTGTCGTGTGTTTTTAGGACACTTCGCAGCATCCCTGCCCTCTACCCATTAGATGCAGTAGCACCACCCAGCTGTGGAGACCACAAGTGTCTCCAGACACTGCCAGCTATATTCTTACTTGAAAACCACAAGCCTAGGACAAAGGGAATACTTGAATTCTATTTTATTCTTCTAAATATGACTTAGAGCCAGACTAGGAAAAGAATATCGGTTTATTTTCTAACATACTTCTTTTGTGCTATAAGAACTAATTTTTGTAAATTCAACTCATATTGCATAAAACTTTTCTCCGGAGCCCTGTTGAATACTTCATAGGTTCTGGCATATTCTTATTTCTATCAGAAGGGAGAATTAGCTACATTCTACTAAAATCTGATCTAATATCACTTTTATTCTAAAAATATTCAGTGAAGATTTTATTCCTTACCATTGGATAAAGCAAATATATTTTTAAAACTTACCTTAAAGAATAGGATTCATTTTGCACATGATTTTGCTGCTTTAGAGACATACGTTAGTATTTTTAAAAGCATTAAACTTTGAAAATGGCACTTGAGCTGGATGTGGTGGCATACACCTGTAATCCCAGCAACTCTAGTCTCATGCAAGAGAGTTGCAAGTTTGAACCAAGCCTTGGCAACTTAGCAAGATGCTATCTTAAAATAAAAAATAAAAAAGGGCTGCAAATGCAGCTTAATGCTCCTTGAATTTAATGTAAACAAAATTGAAACTATCAGAAATGTTATAATCATTAAGATGGGAAATTAGCTTCTGTTATACTGGAACAGCTAGTTGTTAAAATAGATTTCAGGTGAATTCTATTCAAGAAAATAATATATTTCTTGATGTGCAATTTTTCATTTAAAAAATATAAACAATCTTGACATATCCATCAAAGCTTTTCTGACAGAAGATACCTTGTGACAGTTTCCTGTACTCGATGTTGCCGTATGTATTTGCTTGAACAAGTCTATAACATTTCTTTAGAAGTGTTCTGTTTCTGACTTCACACTGCAGACTTCTCTCCCTAGTGAAATAGCTTCATTGTTCAGTGTCTCACAAGGATCTTATGGGCTAGAAGAATAGTTCAGATTTCTTCAGAAAATCCTGCATCAAATGAATATGCCAAACACTTTCTCTTACATGCTCAAAAGGGCATCCTTATTACCTTTCACATACCCATGAGATTGATTTACAGTTTACATTGACTGTGAACTCTGTTTTCTCCTGGGAATTTTGCTGTATGTATTTATAATAGGACACTTGCAGTCTATTAACAGTTGTAAATAGACCTTTCAGGCACATCTGCCATAGCAATTATGAAATATACTTTTTACACAGGTTTCTAGGATTAAATCATGAAAATAGGGAAGTTTAGTAACCACAAGAAATTTCTTTTTTATTTTAAAGAGAAAAGGATTAAAAAAAAATAAAAACAATTATACAGAGTTTCAAAACAGGATAATAATAAATTAACAATGGTTAATGTATTGCATATTACTGTCTTCAAAATAGTTGCACAGATTACAAGATGTAGGCATGTAAAATTATAGAAATTTATTTAGTAGTTGGTCTGTTATTTAAAGTAAAAAGCCAGTTTTACAGATCAAACTTCAAAATCACTGTAGAGAACTTAATAAATGTTTTATCTATTATATTTTAGAAAAAAACATTGATTTGATGGTTAAGCATCCTAATTTTAAATGAGAAAAGAGAAAAATAGATTAAAGAGAGGGAAAAAAGAATGCATTGTGGATAGATGGTTGAACGGATGGAACAGATGGACGGATGATAAATGTATAATGTAGGATATCAACTTTCACCTGAGACCTGCATATTAAATGCTGCTTTCTATTTTATTTTTCAGCCAATGTTTTCAGTTGCACCAAGCTTAGCCACCAATGCATCAGCAGCCTTTAATCCCTACCTGGGACCTGTTTCCCCGAGCCTGGTTCCAGCAGAGATCTTGCCGACTGCACCAATGTTGGTTACAGGGAATCCTGGCGTCCCTGTACCTGCAGCTGCAGCAGCTGCTGCACAGAAATTGATGCGGACAGACAGACTTGAGGTACGAATGATTAGTTGGTTTCCTTATGCATTCCATTCTAATTATCCAAGTGTTACCACAGCAAAAAAGATTTTTAAAAATTCAAAGCTAAAGGTTTGGTTTAGTGTTTAGCATTTTACTAGAGTATAAGTATTCTTTATTTGACAAATGTAATATTTAGGAAAGCCTCAACACCATTGTAGAATCGTAGATAAAAGCTTGTACTTTAGGTCAGGGCCTCTGTAACTGTGTCAGGCCTCAGTTTCCTTATCTTTAAAATAGTGACAATAATGGCACTTGCCTCAGAAAGTTAGAAAAATATCTGTTGCACAAATGTTTATTGTTTCATTGTTGTTATTGCTGCTGTCAAGAATAACAAATTATTGCCAGGTGTGGTTACATGCCTGTAATCCCAGCGCTCTGGGAAGCTGAGCCAGGAAGATCACAAGTTGGAGTCCAACTTGGGCAACTCAGTAACACAGTGAGACTGTGTCTCAAACTAATAAAAATAAGGGAAGTGGAAGTGGAGATACAGGTCAGTGTGAAGGCCCTGCGTTCAATCCCTAGGCCAAGAAATGAAGTGAATTAATAAAAATGTTAGTCCCCTACTTCTTCTTCTCGTAATGATGAATAAAATATTCTAAAATGGTTGCAAATTTCCTCATAAGCTACACAATGTTTTTGTTGAAATAGCAAGACATCTTTGTGAAATGGAATCTTACAAATGTATTTTTAATAAGAAAGTACTGGATGCTCCAAGTGCTTCAAAGTTGATCAGATACATAAATGAATGTGCTTGGCTGTTTCTACCTGAAAAAGAAATTTAACATTTTAAGTCTTACTTAGAGGTTGCTGTGTAGAGTTTGAGCAGTTGTGAATTAATGGACCTGGGAAACTGTAGATGGAAGGGAAAATGACAGCGTTAATTGAAGGGATAGAACTGGCATCACATTCCCTTATTGTGTTTCTCTGGTTAGGCAGTACCCAGGGCTGAGAACTCCTGCATGGATTAATTACTGAGAAAGCAGCAAAGGAAGGCTGTTGCAGGAATATAACTGACTCTAATAATTTGTCATTTTCGTAGGAGCTTGGCTTTCCTGCATACTTTGAAAATGACCTCAACTTTTACGTATTTGCAGCTATACACCAAATATGTATATCACAAGTTTAATCCTCAGGACAAAGTGTAGTGAATGTAGAAAATTTTAAATTATTAGATGCTCAGCATTGAACCAGTTTTATATCCTTTGACCTTTTATGAGAGCAAGCTCAGGGAGCTCTTAATGCACAATTGCTGATTGATTAATTGAACCAGACAGTCTGAGATGTACATTAAAAAGTTAATTATTGATAGGTGACAATACTGAAAAAATTGGGAGACTAAAAATTTTGGAAAGCTGAGTTATGTGGCTAGAACCCTATTAAGCTAATCCTCTAGCAATGTTAGGTACTGATTCATCAGTTGTACTTTGTGATCTTTAATTAGATTGAAGACTTCTATCTTTGATTTTCTCTTTTGTTTCTGTGAATAACTGCCTTATATATTTTGTCTGCTTTCTTTTGCTATGGCCAGAACAAATGTCTACATCTGCATTGCCTGTCATTTTTCTTTAATCTGAATTCCACTTACTTAAATTTCTGAGAATAGTTCAGAGTACTACCTTAGTCTTATTAACAGAATCTGAGCCAGTGTCATAGTTACAAACTACTCGTCTATCACAGTGTGGACAATCTCTGCTTTGTGCTTGTTAATTTAGACGTCTTAATTTGAGTTCATTTCCTCCCGTGCAAACTGCACTACATATTGGAATTTAAAAGGCATGTGGCATTGAATGCACACAATTAGTTACGTAGTGGTCACAAGTTTGGTTATTTGGAGTTTAACTCTATATTCTTTTTTTTTTTTTGGATACCAGGAGTCTAACTCAAAACTTCACACTTGCCCAGCAGGCACTGCCACACTGAGCTATATCCCCAGCCCCTCTATTTTAATATATTTTTGAATTTTGAGTTTCTTCTGAGAAGTGTATTATCTGGCAGAATATTGGCAAATTTTTTACTGCAATTTTACTTTATACAATAAAGAAATTTAAAATATTTCTGACTCTTTATAATACTTAGAAGAACTGACAAATTTATAGTACTCAGTGTACTATTACAAAAAAAAATTTAAATTCAAAAGCAGAAAGCCAAATATCAGTGGTTGTGATATTAGTTAGATAAGTTAGATAAGTTTGTGTTGTGGATCTCAAAACCTCTGGGCATCTAAACTAGAACATTCCAGGAACATTTACATTATTTTCTTGCTTTTAACACATTGCAAGTTATTGAAACATTTATTTTAAAATTAAAATAGCATATATATACAAATAATAGAATTATCACATACACATGGCACCAGCTTTATATCTGCCTTTCTATTTATCTATTTTCTTTGTTGGCATTTTTAGCAAGACTTTGTAGCCATGTACTTTGTGTACTTCAAAATTCAGGTGTCGTCGTTTTCTCTAAAAAAGGAACAAACCTCTTAAGTTCTAGTCACTGACTTGTGGCTTATAAGGTCATTTTGTGACCTTGGAATACCTTTCTGTAGTTTCCACTCAGCAGTTTACTTTACATGGTCATATTAAGAAATAATTAAAATCTGTAGATACTAGAAAAAACCTGAGTCCTTAAGTCCTGCTCATGTTTCATTACAAAGATTGCTAATGAAATCATTGACTTACTTCAAGAAGCAGATTAATTTTTATGATGCAAAAAGGAACCACAAATACACTTACTTTCCCACTGAACAATAAACACCTTTAAGTAAAAGGCATTGTGAAAAATATCATTGAAACCTTTAAACTGCTATCTGTATCAATCACAAGAAAGGTTCACATCGGAATAGTGTTAAACTCATAACTATTCTCCAATAACTTGCTATGTGAATGAATAAGTGAATGCATCAAGCCAACCAGTCAAGTTATTCAGTTAATCACAGAAGGATGCATGTCCATATTTAAAGTGTAGGGTAGTACCGCAAAGGTAATAAACAATGAAAAAGTTTTAACTTGAGAGAAATTTGTTTGTTTGTTTGTTTGTTTTGGTACCAGGAATGTAAGTCATGACCTCAGGCTTGCCAGGCAAGTGCTTATGCCACTAGGCTATATCCCTCAGCCCAAGAGAGAAATTTTTAACATTTTTATTGGAAACATATTTATGCTCTGAGCATTCTAACTGCAAAATACTGTGTTACACTCCTAGACCATGTTGAGTGATATTCAGGTTCCGTGAGATTAGAGTCACGTACAGTGATTATTAAAAATGCAAGATCTCTTTCCAAAAACACATTCAGTTGGTCTGTAGTGGGGCTCAGGAATTTTTTTTCCAGAGAGCAGGTGAGTGATTTGTAGTGGTCAGCTTTCCCACTGCTAGGACCAAATACCTGACACCTGCACTTTAAAGGAGGAGAGGTTTATTAGACTCACGGTTTCAGAGGTTGCTATCTGTGGTCAGCTGGTTGCAAAGCAGAAGCATGATGGATAAAGGATATGATGGAAGAAAGCTGCTTGCTTGTTGGTGGCCAGAAAACAGCACAGAAGAAGAGCATGAGCAAGCAACTAAGGGGCTAAGGGCTTGATACAGTCCCAAGGGCATGCCTCCATGACGCCCAGACACACCCGAAGTACGCTTTAATCTCGCAGGCCAAGCAAGCTGACAATGACGATTGACAATCACATAATTCTGTAAATACAAGTAGTCTGTAAAACACTAGCTCTGGAAGATGCCATCACTTAAACCTTATGTTTTCATCGTTTACTTGATGAATATTTACTTCTGGCTCTGAATTCAGTATTTACTTATGACCCTGCCTCTTCCAATACATGTGACACTATGCCCAGCACGATGATGTATTTTAGGTGAAAATGATGATTTGTTAAAGTAGTTTATGTAACATAGCAGTAATCACCCAAACACCATTGGCTACATTTTTCGGGTGCTTATGGAGATATTAGATTGCTATTTGGTTAGCTGCATCACTTTTGTATCAACAGTCTTCATGAGAAAAGCATATTGAATAAAAGTTCCAGGTAATGTGGATAAACTACTTAGCTTCTGATATGTTTAGTTGGAGCTTGTTGTTTTAAACCAAATTATTTAAAATAAATTATTTTTGTGCTGTAAGTGTTATTCTACCGGGCTAAATCATGACACAGGTTTCTAATTCATGCCACTGGTTCCTTTGTGCTTCCATCGGTTGTTGACACAGAAGAGTCTAGTAACCCCTTGCGTATAGGCAGAAATTAATAGGGTACCTGTTACATACACAAAAAGGTGCATTTCAAGCAGAATCACAATAAAAATATGTAATCATACCTCCTTCTCAAACATCTAATGTACAATGTCTCTGTAAATTATCACTCTGTGATTGGTCTGAGTTTTGTTTTGGAGATTATAGACTTGTAAATGGTTTAATATAAAGTAATTGATAATTTTGACTTGGCCACTCATTCTCTGATAATCTGTCACTAATTTCTTCATCTAAATAAAAGCAAAAAAGTCCTTTATTTGCAGTTATTTAGGAAGGATACTAAAAGTAACTGTATATTTTATCATTTTGGCATATTGATGAGCTTATTTTTAACTTGTATTCATTTTCCTGCCCTCTTGGGTGTGTACACTCACAGGAGTCAAGTAGATGTACTAATTAAATTATTACACATTCCTGTATATTCAAACTTGATTTTTTATATGAAGTCAAATGGTATTATATAATGTACATAAAATACATATAATATGTATGAAGATATGAATAACAGTATTTGGAAGTATGCTTGTGTTCTCTGATCTAAATGATGGGATCACCTTTCTAGAATTCAAAGAAAACTCTAGTAGCAATCCTATGAAGTGACTAATGAAGGTATCTTTTTCTTCATTTTCTTAGAAAGGGAAAAATGAGTCAAAGTTGCTCAATTATTGGATAACTGTCTGAAACTAAAAATCACATTGTTAGATTAATGTAGGAATTTAATTGTGTCATAAATTATAGTTTCCACTAATCACAAGAGTATTAAAATACAAAGATTTTAATCCTTTTTAAAATGAAAATACAGATTTCTATTTGCACTAGGGTACACACATATAACTAGAAATTCTGAGGATGTTTTAATGAAATCAATGGTTATCTCGTAATATTTTGGAATATATTAGAGCTTAATAGCAGAAGTCCTTAATGGTTACTGCTCAACAACATATGTGCATATATGTTTTAGTTTCTAATATTGGTCATTTTATTTTCAACTGATCATTCAAATTGTAAGAATAAACTGAGTCCCTAAACCCTGCTACAATTCAATCTCTGTTCCTACTTTTCGGTGTTATTTTCCAAAGATGGCTGAGTTAATTATACAAATACAGTGAATACAACACATAGTAGTTCAGAAAGATCTCTGAGAAGAAGATGCAAATGATGCTGTGGTTTTTAATTAATTCAAACACTGACATCAGTTTCCTTAGAATCCCAAGGCCTAATATGCAGAATTTACTATTATTTATAAAGCCTCTTATTTTTTGACTACTGTGAAATGTGTTGGATATATTTAAGAAAACAGAGATTGAATAAGGAACTCTATTGTAAACAGATTTGTGTAATGTGTGACAAGCTCTCTATCATTATCTTATGCAGTACTCATGACATTTTAAATTTGGTGTTACTAGAGTTTTCATTGAGAAGATTCTATTCTTAGTAAAGTAAAGGGAACTAGATCCTACAGTTTCTTAGCCCAAATGTATCTTCTTTCTACTCTATCTGCTATTTATTTCACCGAAGAAGATTTATTTGGCAAAATTCAAATTTCTTTGGGAAGTTGTTAAGTTTATTTTTCTATTAACTACTTAAAATATATGATTATCCTCTATTTGTCTGGGTATAGTATTTATAACTTAAAATCTATAAATATTCTCTGTGAATATACTTACTGAAATCCAGATTATTTTCCCTAAAAACAACCTCTCATCTATTTTTCATTAAAGTTTATAAACTATCTGATTTAAAAAACAAATCCTGCCCTAAATTGTGGAGGAAAAAACTCAGTGTTCTTTTTGATTGAATCATATATTGTGTTTAGCTGAATATAGATGATTATTTTAATTCAGGACTGAAAACTACTTTCTAAACTATAGAAAGTAATTTTATTTTTCGACCCACTAATGATATTTTCAACATTCATCTTTAGAAAATGTTAAAACCATACCTACAATCAGGAATATATTCTCTGAAGTATTATTTGGAATGTGAGAATATTGGAAACAATCTGGATATATTTTGATTTAATTACCTGTATTATACACGGTTCCATGAAATTTAAACAGTCATCAGCAAGAGTCACTTTGGATACTCCAGAAAAATGAGAACATGCTTATATGTCGTATAAATGTACCAGTTCTCATGAGAAATGTAATTATTATGTATTGCAAACATGTACTAATAAAAGGTAAAACTTGGAAAAACAGAAACAAAATTCTGAACAATGCTAAAAAAATCAAGGTCATTCTGAACACTGTTTTGCAAGAACCAAAAAGGGTCATCAAGTCAGTAGCTATACTGTAACGGCAACTACTGTAAAATGTGTACATGAAGAAGACTGGTTTAGTAGAGAAAGAATATAAACATAATATTGTTAGCACTATTCTATTTAATTTTATCTTCTCTGATCAAAAGTCTTTGTATAACAAATCTTACAGTTTATTGTAATTTGAATTGTGACCTTAATTTGTTGAAATTTTGTGTCAGTTATAATTTGCTTATATACTACTGCATTTAAAAGATTTCTTTTGGAGATAAATGTAGTTAGGTTTTCTTGAGTTTATTAGAAAAAGAAAAAACAGGCCAAATTCATATTTAGCAGTTAAGGGATAGACCCCCTTTTTATTGATGGTGCCTACTGAAGAAAAATGTGTCTTTTAAACTCTGGGAACTTTGTTTCCTTCAGAGAGGTATTCAGTAAGCCAGATGCACACCTGGTTCTTGGTGTACTTTTTTTTTCTGATTTATAGCTGTCACCACTGAAAGTGTCATAGAGATTTTCTATTTTTATTTTATTTTTATTTTTTCAAAGGCTAGAACAATGAAACAGTCAAGAATTAACTCTAAAAGTTGACCGTAAAACCTCAGAAAAAGCTAGCTTTAGGACATACTTTAAATTAATTCCTGATAACCAACTATGCTTGAATATTTTAGAATGCTTCCAAAATGTATTCCACAAAAGAGTGAGAAGTATGGAATTGTAATAAGTCAACCCTCAACCTATAGAGACTGCAGACTGACTTTCAGTCTTCCTTTTGTCAGTGTGGCAAAGAGTAAGTTAAATTGAAAAATATCCTGCGAGTTTCCATGCTGCCAGTTCTTTCTTGAGCAATGTCAGGAAATTAAGGATTTCTATGAGCTAATAGCTGATGTGACAAGTCACATGTGTGCCCAAGTTTCTTATTGTATGTGGCAATATTGACAGATTTGCTTAAACAGAAAAGTAGTGTCTTTGTTTATGCTGTGGTATAGACCTAGTATAAAGACCACATATATGTAAGTAAAATATTTATTCCCATCTAATTTAAGTGTGTCTGTCTTCCTGGCCCTGGTGAAGAGCTTCCTAGTTTTGGTTTGGCACTAGTAATCTCTATTTTAGAATGCTTCACTACTGACTCGTTGTTCATCCAGAGAGGAGGATAATTGTTCTGGAAAACAGCTTCATCATTTTTGCTTTTATTTTTTTGGTTTTTTATTTTTTTTATTTTTTTATTGTCTTTTTGAGACAGGGTCTCACTATGCAGTTCAGGCTGGCCTTGAGCTCACTTTGTAGCCCAGACTGGTCTTGAACTCATAACGATCCTCCTGCCTCAGCCTCCCGAGTGCTGGGATTACAGGCATGTGGCACCACACCCAGCTCATTTTTGCTTTTAAAATTATGAACTCTTGGTATTGCTTCTTTTTGTCTGTTAAGTAATAAATATAGTAATAAAAATAGTCTTTTACAACTTAACTTATCTCTGTACTCTTAGTTTCTCTCAGAGTATCTATCTGGCACATGGTAGTTATTTAATAAATTTTTGAAGATTAAATACATTGAAGTGATGAGTGAGATTGGCCTACTGCTATACATGTGAAATGCATAGCTTTACTAAGTTAGTATTTCTAAACAGTGCATTTGTCATTTGTAATGCTCATTTTACGATGCATCGCAGTACAAATTATAAAGTATATCTTAAGAACACTTTTCCTAGTAACAGGATATAAATATAATGGAGGCAAAATAATGGACTTAAGTGCATTTTATTTATACAAGTCTATGAAAATACTTACTTTTTAAATCATAGCATGGTTACAGTTTGCCCTTATTACTTCACTTCAAAATAAAGTGTTCAGTGCATGCCTTTGTTCAGTTTGTGAGACGATCCTTGAAATATAGAAACTATTACCTTTAAGCATGCGTGTTAAAGTCTGGAAAATTGCGAGTACTTGAGCTAAAATTTAAAAGGACTTTCTGTGTTTTAGGTGGCCCTCTTGTGGTGAGAAGGTCAAACTGTCCCAGGTGAAGACCTGGAAATGTTCATGCTGAGTCAAAATCCAGCCAATGAATAGCAAATAATTGTTTTCATCTTTTCTCTAGGCTCCTAGGAGCAAAATTAACAGACATAAAACAAGCAGACAGTAACACAAACTAACCTTTTTTCTATCTTCTCTGTGTAGCTACTGTATGACTCTAATGATCAAGAACAACTCATGGTGACATTTTAATAAAAAACTGTTAAATTTGATTTTTTATATATTCACTTGGAAATAATTTTATACTCACATCAAAGTTGCAAAGATAAAAGCAACAGTTTTTACTTACTTTCCAGTGAGTTAAACATTAACATCTTATTTAACTATAGTATCATCTATAAAACCAGAAAGTTGGCATTGATCTACTGATATTAACCCAGCCATAGACCTTAATGAGGTGTTATCAGTTGTCCTATCAATATCCTTCTCCAGCTCCAGATTGTTCAGCATGTGACATGTCTTAGTCCTTCATTGTTTTATGACTTGACACTTTGGAAGATTACCCATCATTTTCTTTGTAAAATACCCTTCCATTCAATTTGTCTACTGTCTGTTTGTGATGAATTTTGAGCAAAAATACAAATGTTGTCATGTGTCCATTTCACTGCCAATCAATGGATGTAGGATGAGCTTCTGTCTTACTATTAGGATGTTGACCTTATTCACTTGGTTAGTGTGTGTGTGAGGTTTCATCACTGTAAAATTACTCTTTTCCCTTGGTAATTAATAATTTTAGATTAGATGTCTTATAATTAATGCCATTAATCACATGCATTTTCTTTTTCAAGGGCATTTAATGGAATGTGATTACAATTTATATATCAAAATAGACCTTGTGAAGTGAGTTTCTTGCATTGTTTGCAATGATCTTTTCTCCTTCACCTATGCCTATCAGCAGTTTTGAAGATTAACTTACGGTCTTCAGAAAGGTTGTGCTTATTCACGTTGACTAAACCCCATGCACTCAATGGCCTCACAGGTATGTCGAGAGTACCAACGTGGCAATTGCAACAGAGGAGAAAATGATTGTCGGTTTGCGCATCCTGCTGACAGCACAATGATTGACACCAATGACAACACAGTCACCGTGTGCATGGATTACATCAAGGGAAGATGCTCTCGGGAAAAGTGCAAATACTTTCATCCACCTGCACATCTGCAAGCCAAGATCAAGGCTGCCCAATACCAGGTCAACCAAGCTGCAGCAGCACAGGCTGCAGCCACTGCGGCTGCCATGGTGAGTACAAACATCAGCTCTCTCCTTGCCAGCAGTCGAAGAAGCAAAGTGAACAACTGTATCTGTCTAGAAGCTATCATCTATTAACCTTGTAGAAAGTTTTTTTGCTGAAGATATGTTTGTTCAGGTATCCTAGAAACTACATAAAGAAGTTACTGTTCACAGCAGTGAGGGTAACTCCTCAAATGGTTCAGATTGCTCCTATTCTTGGCCTAACTCTTCATACTCTGTCTTATTCTGGATGTAGAGTTTCTGAAATTTCTGCTTCGAAAAGAACCACCTGTCTCCTTCTTTTCAATTTAACGATATTGCCATCTCAGTCTTATTTTTGTGTGCCATCTAATCAGCACTGTGTTCCTTTGGTGTGTTCTTTTGCACATCAAGGCCCTTTACATTTATCCTGCTTTTAACCATAACACAATCTGGAACTATTTAGGATTGCTTCAACAACATTGTTTTTAGAATTAGCTACAGGATTTTGAATAGTGTGCTATCTAGATTGCCTGCAATAATATTGTGGCATAACCTAATTATATAACCACAGAAGTTTGACTGTGCCATAAGGCAGCAACACTCAAGGACTTAGAAAGTGGATCATTTAGAGTAGACACTAAACTACATGTTGAAGGTAAATTTTAATGTGACCTAATAGCTGAATTGAATGAGTCCATTCTTTGTTCTCTGCTTAGCTGTTTTAATGTTGTCCCTTTTTTACATAAATATCTGGATTAATCTCTAAAATATTCATAAAAAACCACTGTGTAGTATTTCACAGCACAGTGAAATAATCATGAGAGAGGTCTTTTCTGTGTTTATTTATGGATACTTGAGCAAAAATACAGAAGGCAGACTCTCTCCTTTTCTCTTCCTTCCACTTTTTTTTCTGTTAGAGTATCTTGTTTGTAATTAACTACGAAGAGGAGTGATCCTCCCAATAACAACTCAATAGTGCCTTTATTGTGCATGCTTAGTCTTGTTATTCGTTGTATATGGCATTCCGATGATTTGTTTTTTTATTTGTTTTTTCTCACCTACCCAAAAATGCACTGCTGCCCCCATGATGCACCTCTGCTTGCTGTTTATGTTAATGCGCTTGAACCCCACTGGCCCATTGCCATCATGTGCTCGCTGCCTGCTAATTAAGACTCAGTCGGCTGTCAAATCACTGAAGCGACCCCTCGAGGCAACCTTTGACCTGGTACTATGACCTTTCACCTTTTAGCTTGGCATGTAGCTTTATTGTAGATACAAGTTTTTTTTTTTTTACCAACTTAAATATATATTCCTTTTTCTGTTATAAAGTTCTAAAGTACAATGAAAAACTGAGTGTGGTTTCCTGACAAAATTAGTGGAAAGACTAATATAAGTACATAGATGGATGTCATACAGTGCAAGACTGAAAACCCAGCAGCCCACATTCAGTTTAACTACATTGTAAACTGTGCTAAAGAAATACTTGGAAGACATTAAAATGTATTTTTGACTGTATATTTTATGTACTTGTTTGATTAGCATGGCTTTAGTAATAGATTATTTACTTTTTAATATTTCTAGTTCAGTATTTAAGAAAAACAGTTGCATGCTCTGGGACATTTGCATGTGTCAGTAGATCTGGTTGGGGGGAGGAGCAAAGTGGTGTAGGTTTTTATGTTACCAGTTTCGGTCACTCTGTACAATTAACTATTAACATTGCTTATACTCGTCAATCCTCATGGAGCTCGCAGTGCAGCTTTTCTTCTTTTCCCAAATCAATGGCTTCTCACATAAAGCCTGAAGCATTATGGGATGTTAAACATCTTAACACTTGATAACTCGTGCTCTCGTCCAGAGGGGTTTTGTTGTGGACAGAAATAATGCTTCCTTTAAAGCTCTTATCTTGCTTTTTTATTTTCCCTTTAATTTTTGTTTATTGGATTTTTCCCCCCCTTGGGTAGTTAAGTGCTCTGCTGCTTGCTTGCTCATGCTTCCTAACAATTTTAGCCTTCAACTGATTTTTCTTTTTTCTTTTTTTCTTTTTACTGGTATTTGTTTTTTATACTCGTTCACTAAACAGGGAATTCCTCAAGCTGTACTTCCCCCATTACCAAAGAGGCCTGCTCTTGAAAAAACCAACGGTGCCACCGCAGTCTTTAACACTGGTATTTTCCAGTACCAACAGGCTCTAGCCAACATGCAGTTACAACAGCATACAGCGTTTCTCCCACCAGGTAAGGGCTTGGATTTGTTAATAAAGGAGTCTGTCGATCAAGGTAGAAGGCTACTGTTAGAGCAGATAAACCACAGCCCTGGATTGCTTTTAGTCATAGATAAGGGGTAAGGTAAGGTGGTCCTTAATGGAAACTTATCTGAAGTATCTCATATGATTTTTCTTAAAAACTAGAAATTTTAGCTTAAAGAAATGTAGATTAAATATCAGTGGTGTTTTATATATTTATTTGTGTTTGTGTTATTTGGAATTGAAATACAGTTCTCTTCTCTTTTCCTCTCTTTCCTCGCCATTGTTATATGTCTGTCATGCTATTTTATGATACTTTCTTGCTGTAAGACCCCTTTGCCTTCATGAGTCTATGAGTTAATTTGACTGGTATGAAATGACTCTTTCAATTTTAATTCGTTATCAGCCTCTTTGGTTCCCCAGTGGACAATAAAAAAATAACCATATATTCTAGAGCTCTTAAAATATGCTCTTCTTAGTAGTAATCAATTCCTTGATTAAAATTTTTATTGTTTCTAAGCTAATATTGAAATAATGTTTACATTTATATTTGAATTTTATGTCTGTGGTTACAATTTATTTTCAATTTGGTTACATACATATATTCTAGATTTATTCACATGGATTTAAAAGTTAAAAACATAAACTAACAATTCATTTAGATACCTGGAAATTTTCTATTTTTACATACACTGAATTTCAGAACATACATATTAAAGTTCTTTTTTTTTTTTTTTGGTTTTTCTCCGGTACCGGGAACCGAACTCACGACCTTGCGCTTGCCAGGCAGGCGCTTGGCCGCTGAGCTAAATCCCCAGCACCCCATATTAAAGTTCTTATAATCTGGAATTTAGTTAGCCAAACACTCTAATGTCATTTTCTGTTTTACCCCTTAACTTTTATTTTAAAATACCATGAGTTTAGAAATTTAATAACATAATTTTATTAGTGAGTTAATGACTAGTTGTATATATCAAAGATCTAGCTACTCTAGTGAATATTTGCAGTGTGTTAGTTTCATAATAATGAGAGAATTAATAATGTACTTTTTGGATTCATGAACAAAGGAATAAACTATACTCAAATTAGTTTTTACTGATAGACACTTTTTTAACAGTGCATCTTTCAAAGCTGGCCATCCATATGCAAATAAATATGTAACAGCAATGAATTAACTAGGATACTCTATTAAAACAGTTCGTGCTTGTAGTATAAAATGATATTTATACTCATGAAATAGCATCTGTCAAGTGATGTTTTGTCCCTATTACAATGAAAATTAAGTGATTTTGATCTGTAGTGTACTTATTGCTTTCTGAGGGAAAAATTTTAACTCTTTTCTATATAAATAGTTTTTCAGAAACTTCCAAAAATTTATATTTTTCATTTTTACAAGTTGTCAAGTCCTTAGATTTTACTGTTTCCAGTGAACAACACACCAATTTTATATACTCAAATCACTAGACAGAAGTTTAAAGCAATTATCATAATTTCTTTGGAAAAATTAAAAAATTTATTTTTGTCAGTCTGTTTCATTGAATAAAACATTATGATTAGAACTGACAGTTTCCTTATTTAAAATCAAAAATTAAAAATAATCTTCTCCTAACTTCTAAGAAAGCATCAAATAATCTTTCTTACTAAATGCATTTTACATTAGTTTCTCCACTCATCAGATGACCATACTCTTTTCTCAGTGAGTGTAATCATCAGTTGAATACCATGCATGACCCTTACTTGAGACAGTAGTGTATCTCCTGAAAAGTTTTCAGTCCATAGATAGAAAACAGAACCTATATAAGGGTTAAGGTAGGAAGATACTAAGCACATTCATAAAGCAGAATCAGTTGTTCTTTTGTTCTTGAATGTTAAGCATTGCTAATTTAAATTAAACATATTATAATATCTGGAAATATGCTGAAATTTTGAATATATTTTTTCTTTTATGATACATTGTTTTTCATCGTAGTAATAATGTGAAATAATATTTATCTCTCTCCTTCTTTAAAGGGGCTAAAGCCACAGGTTGACCTATTTATTAAACACATAATCGGAATTAGATACTGCCTTCATAGTTCTTCCGAAATATTTTCCTTACTATAAATGTACCTGTGTGCACAAAAAATGCCCTCATGCCATGAAAAGTTTAAAATAGCCTACCTTTACTTCTGCCAAACCACTTTGTCACAGAGAGAAACCTGAAGCGCGGAGAACATGAACTCAAACACCTCAGGGGTCAGGCAGCCCACATACACAAATGAAGCAGGAACTAATCTGGGAGTCAGGCTGAGAGCCTGAGGGTACTGGAACACACAGGCCCACGCCCAGGGGAGACAGTCAGGGTTTGGGCTTAGCCTTTTGTGGCTCCCAGGCATATCGCTGGCAGATAGTTCCAGGTGTATGCATACCCGCCTGTCTTTCCATTTACATCACAGAGCACTGAAGCCATGTGATTGTATCTGGGTCTTCTAGGATGTGCTGATACAACCTGCAATGGAGGCCCTGCTAAACATTGCTGCTCCAGAATATGCTGGACAGTAGTGTGGTTATATGAGAAATCCCCCAATTTTTAAAATGTTGCCAGTTAATTCATTGTGGGTTTTTTGGGTTTTTTTGTTTTGTTTTGTTTATTTTTGTCTGTTTGAGACAGGTTCTCACTATGCAGTTCAGGCTGGCCTTGAGCTCAGTTTGTAGCCCAGGCTGGTCTTGAACTTGCAATGATCCTCCTGCCTCAGCCTCCCAAGTGCTGGGATTACAGGCATGCGCCACCATGCCCGGCCCAATTCAGTTTTTAAAAAACAACCTTTGAGAACTAAAAAGTAACTCAGTTTTACCATGGGTTCATGTGTAATTTCACGTAATACCTGGGAACAATCGAGTTCATTTTCTAAAATCTAGGTTATCCTATGCACAAATAACAGAATAATCCTATAACCAAAACATCCTATCTGACAGTCTAACAATTGGGAAGGTATATTCTGAGGACCTTTTCGGAGCAAGGTAGAGAGTGAAAGTCATTTGCATTTTGCAACTCTTACTTTACACTTCTGTAGTCTATCGTTTCAAAAAAATGACAGAGACATGTAGGTCTGTTTAATTCCCATTACAGTGAAGCATCGTTGGCTAAATCCTTAGAACAGGTGACTGTGCATACAGGGAATGGGTTGCTGGCAGATCAGGATTCTGTGTGAAGCCATCCAGCAAGCAAAGGAAACTAGCAATGGACAGTAACTTCTTAATAACAGAGTTGGGCTTCTATGGCGTGTACCCACCCACCCGACCGTCATGTGTGTATGCATGTATCCATCCATGTGTATGCATCCATCTTTCTGCCATTCTATCCTTAACTCCCTCTTTCCTTCCCTTTGTCCTTCTCTCTCTTCTGTCCTTCCCTCTTTTCATCTGTTAATCTTCTCATTCATTCAGTCAGCAAATTTTGATTGCCTGCCAAGCAGCGTATCAGTAGTTACAAAAGAAATTATAATCTCAGAGCTCTAGGGGAAAATCTAGTATCTATAAATACTTTGTTTATCTAACACAGTTTTTAAAAAAGTCTCAATGTGAATCTTATACACAAGGTACATACTTTCAGACTCTAAGCCCCAAAATTTCCTATTGCCATAAGCCTACTTTTTCACATATTAATTTCAAAAGAGTTACTTTTTATTGAGTAGCTGTCTGGGCATGCTGCTGTAGGTGCTTGACTTTTTATTTGTTGTCTTTTCATTTTTCTCACCACAACCTCAAAAGTTTAACTTAATTTTACCTGTGAGTCATTTGGGATCCACTGAGGCACAGAGATTTGTCAGGTTGAATGCTTTGTGGGGTTAGGAATTTAAACTTAGGTTGGCAACATGGGTCAGTCTCTTGATATCTGTAAGCAATGTGCATAGTAATGCAGCTGTGTAAAAAAAGATTTGAACTGGGTACACACCTGTAATCAGCACTCTGGGAACAAGACAGAAATTCAAGCCCAGCTTGGGGAGTTCAGCACCTTAGTGAGACCCAGTTTCAAAAAATAAAGACTGGGGACATAGCTCAGTGTGCAGGCCCTGAGTTCAATCCCCAGTACCACAAAAACAACCAAACAAAGAATGAAAAAAATAAAAGAATTTAGAAGAATGACACTAACCCTTACTGATTACCTAATGCCATACCTGAGGTTTTACACTTTTCATCTTATTTAAAGATACATATTAGATTAAATTCATGTTAAAGGGTTTTCTTTCCAATTTTAGGCGTGTACTACTTCTTTATTTTAACCTTCATTTTTTAGAGCTAATCGATTATACAGATTATAAATAATCTAGGGCCTACTTTTATTTGTGTGTGAATGTCACTTTTGTAGAGTACGTCAGAAACACCTTTTTTAAAACATATTTCCTCATGAATTTAAATTAAGCTCAATTCTACATTCTATTCTCTCTGTGTCATATGGACGTAATTAATAAAAAGAAGGAAATGCTACTTGGTTGATATCAATTTTGATAATTCAATTGATTGTGAGCTTTTAGTCCTAAAAGATGCATTATTTTTAGAAGAACTAAATCAGCTTTGTACTTCTTAAATAAAGTCTAAGTTGGCTTGAATTATCACAAGGAAATTCCAACTTCAAGCCTCCATTACAATGCTTTTCTCTCTCTTACTTGTTTCTGTTTTTCTTGAATTTGTGAATTCCCATCCTGTTACTTACCCTGCATCTTCACAAATATCAATTTAAAATTTAATTTAGAAAGTCATGTAATTAAAATAACACATTCCACGGAAATACACCACTCAGCTAAGCATATATCTTTGTAGGCAAAATTGGAAATTGACAAATATATCCACTTAAATTTTGCCTTGTGCTGAAAATTGAAGAAAAAAATTAATTTGGCTATTTATGCACCATTGTTAGCAAATCTAAGCATTTAAGTAAAGATGGATGTCTTGGTCATTTCGAAAGTGATTTTTGCTTTTGGTAAGTGGGTCCTACAGCATTTTGTCTTCATATTTGTGAGTTACTGCACCCTGGCTAGTATTTTCATTGCTACCTTATGTTTATTTGCCGCAAATCCCTCTCAGAACTGTGTGCATTGGTTATAATGGTAATGAGGAAGATAACTCAAACTAAAATTCATGTCATAAAAAGTTTAGGGTTTTAGAGGGATAGTATAAGGTTAACTCATTTCCAGCATGTGCAGGCTTCATTATGCATGAAATGAAATACAGTAGGCAAATTGTAGGAAAATAATTAATAATAAATTTGAAACCTATAACCTGTTCAATATTTAAACTAGCTTTACTATCCTTTAAATACCATATTATTCTTTTTCATTCATCTTTTCATCTTTTCTTTGGTAATTGCCCAGTCCTGCTGCCCCACCACTAAAGGATAATGGTTTCATAGACTTTAGACCCAGTATTAAATTTTACTTTCTCTACTGCCTCAAATTAATTTCTTTATAATTACCGGTTTGTTTCTGTTGTCTTTCATAAGTCTCTTATTCAGCTGTTGTAGCAAATTACAGAGATATTCAAATGTCTTAAATAATGCCTGTCAATAGAATATTACTTTGCCTGAAAGGATGCTTCCCTAGCTCCATTACCCAGATTAATCACTGATCATTGTGCCCACAGTCTAATTGTGATAACAGACTAACTGCAGCTGTGACAGAATGCCAGTTAAGTAACCTGTGTTTCAGTTCAGTTTCTCAACGGCAGCTTTGTTTTGTTAGGCCATCTCTGACGAGACTCAGCTGGCAGATATTTTTCTAACAAGTGTTCATCCCAGATGCTGCTAGTATTTAAATATGGTGTGCCAAGATTTAGATAGAAATACAAAGTCAGTGATATTTTAAAACTTAAAAGTCTAAAATAATCTCACAGGAAAAAAAAAACAGTCGTTCTCCATATGGGAAAGTGCCTTGAATTTTGTAAAGTTAAAATAGATTTTCAATATTTACATGTCAAAATAGGGACTATATATATTTTTACTTATTGTGATCAAATTATTGTGAGCATCAGTGCTAACTACCTATATGTGATGTGTGCATCTTCATAATGTCCCACTCACACTTTTTGCTGAAGCCCAATTGATAATTTCTTGCATGTGAAATTTTGTAAAGCATTTGCTACTGTGGGAAGTCTTGAGGGCCTAAGGCAGCAGCAAATCTATTCTGTTTTCTCAGATACCTACTAACTAAACCAATTTGAGACTTAAAAGAAATTATATTCCCACTTCTAGTACTTTTCCTACACTTTGATTTCAAACTAAAGAGTCAAAGAGATTTCACTTTCTTTTTATGCATAATTTATTACTTGATATCTCTCCAATAAAATTCCTGGGTGGATGGTCACAACCCACTTCATGTCTGTATGGTTTACTCTTACAGTAAACAGAGAAATAAAACCAAGGGAATTAAAATGAATGTTTTGGTTTCATTACATTGTTCAGTGTTGTGCAGTGAATTATTTAGTGTTTTAATAATGAACAATATCCCTAATTACTTAAATGTGTTCAATTTAAAGAAAATATTAATATATTTATGTGTCAAAGTCAGAAATAGTAGAGCACCTAGAGGGATAGTTAAAACAAAACAAAACAAAATAAATTATAATATTATTTTTAAAAGAATTAAGCAGATTTAAATCTTTTCCAAAATACCTTTTCCATAGGCAGCAATTAATAGAAACAAAGTGTACCAGCACACAGTTAAACTGGCTTTTATCTTCACTTGAGACTAGTTCTAATTGATCACTGTGCTATTGTATGATTTGATTGTGCTGACAGTTACATGCCACTGTTCCCATAATAACAATTTTTCTTCTTTGTTCAAATGAATTTCCTAATTACACGTGTGATGGGATGTTTTAATTCTTTTCCCTTTTCAAATCCACCTTCCTGTTGCAATGCATGATGGGCAGGCTCAATATTGTGCATGACACCCGCTACAAGTGTTGGTAGGTGCCAGCTTTGTTTCTTGATTATCTTAAACCTATGGTGCACCTCACAGCCCCTCAAAATCCACTGCTAAGTTTAACTTTTATCTATTGGGCAAGTCCATTTCCCTTTTACTAACACCTGTCAATTAAATGCCATTTTCTATTTAATTGACATGGACTCACATAAATGTTTTCTTTACACACAATAGTTTCCTTTAGTCACCTTTGGTGGATTTTGATTGGACTATGAGTTCTGGTGTGTAAAACAAAAATCTATATTATAAAAGTAATAAACTGTATTTTCATAATAGTAAATGATAAAAATACTTTTTACTCAGACAGATAACTGTATAAATCAAGTAAATATCTTTATTTTTATTTAGATTTTGAATGTTTATGAACACTATATAAAATTCTTGTTTTTGACTTAGCAAATTAAGCCTGTTTGTGTCAGTTTTCTTGATTTGATGGTAACAAGCTTTTTTTCCCCTTTTTTTTTCTCTTTCATCCCCCTCCTCTTCTCTCCTTGGAATGTTGTCCTGCTTTGCGCTGTGATTGCATGTCACTCACTGGTGATGATGTCCTGTCACATGGCTTATTGCTATGATAAATACCATGCCCAATGATCTCTTCCATGTTGCCATGGTTTCCATATTGCTACACTCTTCTGTATGTTTGCTTATATGATTTTCCCTCCGAAAGTTCCCATGGTGCACGGTGCTACGCCAGCCACTGTGTCCGCAGCAACAACATCTGCCACAAGTGTTCCCTTCGCTGCAACAGCCACAGCCAACCAGGTTTGCTAATTTACAGCTTTGTTTCTTAAAAAAACAACTCTAATAGGGCTCAGTCCAACAGCCTCTATGCACATGGATTTCCCATTGAGGTCAGTGGGAGTTGTGTGTCTATGAGGGCTGTAGAGGGTGCTGTAATGAGCATGGGGTTTCAAAGATACCTCTTGTTGGCCTACACATTCTTTCTATGATGAGCAGCAGAATGCTTTTATGCCATTTATAAATGCTCCAAGGTTGTTGCGGCTCCATTTCTGAAGCTACTAAAATGATATTTACACAAGCAATTCTCGTTTGTCTCAGCCAATTGTGCAGGTATATTGATTAGTCAAAAATAGAGGCAATCTTAAAGTTTTTATTAAAAGTATTTGGTGTATACAGTTCCTTAAGATCTTACCTAAATTCTTCATAAAGAAGGAAAATACTGAAATGTATTGCATGTGCCACAAATGACCACTCTTGTAAATAAGAGTTTGCTGTCAAATTATAATTTGATTTCTTTGATAAGCACATGGCATATTCAAAAGTAATGAAGTTCATGTGCAAATTTCTAGGCTTTGATTCTCAAATCTGTGAAAGAAAAAAAAAATGCTAAGTGCTCTTAATTCTGTAATTATCCTGAATAAATATTGGATATTCATGAAGAAAAAAGAAAGTATGGTAAATGAGACTCCTTGTACATTCCCTGCAAGTTTACAGAGTAACAGTTATGCAGGATAACTTTAAATAAAAGTAAATTTTGTGTTACATAACAATGACTATTTAAAATAGAATATTATTTAAAATTTAAAAGTTGACATGTATTCCACCAGCATTTTCTGATTCTATTTAAAATATATACTTTAAAATACTGGTTGGAGTAAAATCTCATTTATATAAAGTTAGCTTGGGTTTTAAATATATAGATATGTTTGTTATGAAAGAAACATTCAGTTGGGTTGGTAGCATATAAAAATAGGTAACCAAATTTCAGATAACCCACTGACTACAGTTAAACGACGTTGAAGGAGTGTCCAGAGAGCCAGTATCAGATGTGATTCTACATTTTGATGAACTTTCAGATATTCAAATACCCATTAAAAACTTTTCAAAGTATACTGCCAAGAGGGATTTATTTGAAAGCTTTAGATGAACTTTAAACATTTCTTGGCAAAGAATAATTAGTTTTCCAGAAGCTTGCCAAATTAACCCTGAATATATACTAACACATCAAACTCATTTACAAGAATGCTAGTTGGTGTATATGTGGCATGCTAGTAAATGATCTTTGAGAGAAATATCTCAGTAGATTCAATCCAATTCATTTATGGTGAAGATCAGTAGTATTGAACTCTCTTGTTTGTATCATATGTGACTATAGAATTGCTGGTGTAAGCAGAACTATAGCAAAGCAAATTTCAACATGCCCTTGGCCACCTGGGTTGTAGGGGACACTTTACTTTTTGCATTGTGCTGTGACCATTTCATGCATAATCTTGGGTCTTCATACTACTTTACAACCAAAGGGAAAAAAAAAGGACTGGATATATATATACACACATATATTATATCTACATATACATCTATATGTATATGCCTACAGTACATTAGCAATGCTGGAAATAGCTGATGCCACAACATGCAGCCTGCATGCATGCAGAAGTTTTAGCTGGCCCTTCATCTGCATCGATTGGTGTTGAAGGTCCTTGGTATGTTTCGACAGCCCCATCCTTGATGCTTCTACACTGTTGGGTGCAACATCCTGTCCTGCTGCAGCAGGAAAAATGGTATGAGAAGCTTCATTATGCTTGGAGCACATTTTCGTGCCATTTGCCAATGCCATAAAATTGTGTAAAAAATGTCAGCTGAGAAATGGAAATAAAATAGGGACATATTAATATACACTCCAGACTGTGGGTTGTAGTGTGTTGAATTAGTCTAGGATGTCTACATTAAAAGAACAATAAAATGTCTTCATGTATGTGACTTCATTATTCTCCCATCAACCTTGTAGAAAGTGGATTAGTACCATTTCGTAGAGGAAACGTAATCATAGAGTAATTAGTTGCTTTGCTGAAGTTCACGCTACCAGGAAACGAATCACTAGCAACAGAACAAGTTCCTGCAGCCTGTGATGGTCGCCATCTTTTGGGCCGCTGCTCCCATTCTAGCAGCATTAATTTTGGATTAGAGGAGAATCAAGTTGCAAATATACAGTTCTTGGCTTTGGGGACTGTTGACATAAGTAATCTCTAAATCAAGTCTCTTACTAAATTTTCTCTCAAGTTTTCTAGTTATGTTGCCTATTTAAAATACAATAAGGTGTGCAATCTGGATTCAGAAATATGTTCTGAAGTCAGGCTATGCCCTTATCTAGTTCTTTTGAATTATTCCCTATACTTCTTACCTCGTATTTTTAATCTGGAAAAAAGTTAGACACTCTAATTTGAATGAAAATGGTGGAAATTTGGTTGCCCAAAAGTAAACAAGATGTTTCTTATTCTGATTTCTGTATTATTAAAGTAACTGAAGCCACAGGGGTGTGTGCGTGTGTGTGTAGGCCAACAAAAAGGGCTTCTTTCAATTATTGCTCTGCATGAATTTTTGGTAGTTTTACTTCTCTTAATTCCTATAAACTGGTAACATTTATATAATAGTATTTAACACAAATATTTTTAAAAATGAGTTGCTATTTTGGCGTTTAAGTTCCTATTAACTGATGGTTATGTTGACCAGATAAGGACTATCACCTCACAGCTGTTTCTCACTCTTCTTGAAATATTTATTAAGATGTTTTCATCTCTTGGTTGTTGGCTTGCTTGCATGAATCATTCATTAAATAATTTTTTATTTGTTAGATACCCATAATATCTGCCGAACATCTGACTAGCCACAAGTATGTTACCCAGATGTAGAGTTGCCGTCACTAAACAGTAAGTTCCTTATGTAATATACGTATCTGTCTGTGGTAATTTCTTTAAGATAGCAGTTGTGTAGTATACTTAGATTTCATAAAACCTGAGAGAGAATCTTGCAGACTTCACATTTTTATCTTATACGGGTTATGCAGAATTATATACAAATACATCACAAAACACAAATACTGAAGGATAGTAAATTCTGTTTTTTATTTCATAGTAGAGGCAAGCTTGAAGAAAAATATGACTTAAAAGTGAAGACAAGGCATTGGTTAGGGATTGGAAAATATTTTTAAAGAGCCAAATGGTAAATACTTTTGGCAATGTGGACCATATAGTTTTTGTGGTATCTGGTCATTTCTGTCACTGTAACATAGAAGCTGCCAGACATAGTAAAAGCAGTGGTGATTCTATGGCACATACGTTGTTTTTCTTTTAAGACAAAAGATGTTAATGTATGAGTTGTTTTTTCTAAACCACAACCTCAGTGTTCAGGCTTAATTGCACTGTTGGCACTTTGAGATGAAGTAGACTTCGGGTTGCGGTTTGGGCGCTTGTCTCTATAAGGTTGACTATCACTGATATAAAAGAATGGATATGGCTATGTTCCTATGAGGTGTTTTTGCAAAACAGATTAAGCTGGATTCGGCCCACAATCAGTAGTTCAGCTGACTGCTATGATCGTGCTTAATTTGACTCTTGCTGTTGTTTCACTAAATCTTAAATAAGAACATGAACTTCGCTCATCCTGTGCGTTACCACTAGCAGAGTCATTACATTGCAGTAGTTGTGACTTTCCCTATTTACATACATGTGCACACAGAGGTATATGTGAATACCTATAACTACATGCCAGTTGGATAGTTAAGTACTTCAAAATACTTCTCTTAGAAGGTCGTATGATTCTGAAAACATTGTCATTGCTCAACAATGCTTTGAAAACCACTTAGAAATATTGTCTTAAATACGTTGAAAGGCACCTTTTTGTCATTCTTAAAAAATATGTTTTACTTGATATACGTTCATTTTTAAGTTACAACCTGTGCTCAGAAGCATGATAGGTACTTATTTTTATATTTAGAAAGAACTACAACATTTAAAATTGAATCTGGTAAGTAAAATGGATGTTCATTCCATTGTTACTTCCTTTCTTTCATTTATTTGGTCATCAACATTACAAGGAAGGTTCTGGTGTTACTTTGAGTTAGTTACAGGTGGAGATAAAGAGTAATCTCAGGATAATTGATTAAAATAAGAGATCTGGAACAAACATGAGGGAGCAATTCTTCCCAACAAAATCAAAAAAGAAAATGTGGACAATGAATGTGTACGAGGGGAATGGAGGAATGAGGACTTTAGAGGAAGGGTAGAGTGCCACGTCGGGATTCATGGTGGCGGAAAACCAGTTAGAGAGCCTGCTGATGAGGACAGAGCCCATTGCTGGAGAGAAAGGTAGAATGTGAGAGCCATTTAAAGGAAATTGGAGTGGATTTGAGGAACACTAGTAAAGATGTGCTGAGATCATGAATCAAATTGTTGAAATTGATTTTTATTTAATGGGCTCTCAGAGCAGTTCTGATAAATAGGCTCATGATCATGAGCAGTAGTACATTGTTTTTAGTTTGTGAATTAAGGAGAAGAGTAACTCCTCATTTGACTTGTTAAGAAATCTGTTTCCAGCTTTTATAGTCTTTAGATATGTTTTGTGTGTATATATGCAACTATGTTCAATTTCTTAGCAATAATTCAGTTTGAAAAATATGATACCACGTAACCATAAGCCCATTAGTATATAGTAAATCAGTTGACTTGTTTTTATGGAACTTTAGGATCCTGATGTTCTGTTTACTTGAAAAATGTTTGTTTTCCTTTGAAGTTTACAGTATTTAAATTGGTTAAGTCAGTAAAATGGTGATTTCTCTCAAAATTATACTCTAAAGCATACTTTTAATTTTTAAAAATTCCCTGACGAGACTAAATTTCATGTAAAAACCGAAACTCCTTTCAGATACACTGTAGTATGCATTAAAGCTTAATTCATTAGGAATTGTTCCTTAATTCATAAGTAAGGATTTTAATTTTTCTTGGCATTAGAGGAAGAAAAACTGTAAGCTATGAAATATCTAACAAACTCAAAGTATAATATTTCCATGGATTTTGATTTTGTAAGCCAAATTCTAAAAACATTAAATTTTACAAAGAAGTAAATATGTTTAAATTCTGCTCCACAAGAATAGCATTTAAAAAAAAGAACTCTACTAAATTATGCCCCTTGATTCTGCAACTGTATTTAGCTTCGTTCTAGCAAGTTTTTGAGAGGATCTATAATTGTATTAAACTGCATGTCACTGAATTCACTAATACCCATTTACCTTGTATTTGCACCTCTGAAGTGGTTTTTGTTTTTACATGAAATACAACATATGTGTAAACATACTTTAAGAAATAAAGTATTTCATATTAAATGTTTTATAAACTGCATTTAGTAATTTCTAGTTTAACGCAAATTATTTCTTTTTTCCTTGTAGATCATACTAAAGAGGAAAGGACAGTGTGCTTGGTTAGAGGAAAGGACGAGGTCATTAGCCATATTGTATATACCTTCAAGCAACACACACAAAAATCCCTCAGCCACAAGACATCCACATATTGCATGTTAAACAGAAGAAAAGACAACATGGAAATCCACTGCACACTTTTGCCTATACACTTTGTACATTTAATTGATATTCGTGCTGAGGTGATATTCCTGTCTAAAAGAACAACATTGTCTTTCTTTTCTAGCACAGAGTTATGCATTAAAATATGCATACCTAATTAGTTTCCTATATATTCATGCCATCTTGAAAAGACAGACTATGGTGTAACCATGATTCTATTATGTATTGGTACGTCTGTAGACCAAGATATAATTTTTTAAAAATAAGTTTATTTCTTTCAAGGTTTACAAATAACAAAGGTGCACCTTGTATTTAAAATTGCCATTATAGATGAGAGCGTGCATGCACAGTCATTTTTGTTTAAGAGTAATATTTTTAATGTAATAGATTGTAAGACGTGGTGAGGGAGGGATCTGACAGAGATGAATGTGCCAAGCAAAACCACAACTGTGTATATTTTAAAGCACATCATGGCTTTAAGTACCATGTTGTCAAGGATTCTCATGAAGTGCCATAGACTGTACATCGAATTAGAGTATTATTTCTTCAGTGTTATTGTTTTCAGAGCCACATTCTGTTGCTTATTTGCTAGTACTAATCAATCGAAGGGCACCATTCTTTTTTCTTTTTTTTTTTTTTGGAAACCAAAGCTGTCTCAGAAATGGCTAATTTAACTACAGTAACAATAGACAGCACAACACAAACTCTCAATACAGATAAACTCACACATACTGGAGATATATATAATAGATAAATATATAAAATTATTTTAATGCATTGTAGTGTAATATTTATGCATACTATACTGTATAACATGTTATTCAAAAGGGATATGCCATTTCTGAGACACGATAACACAAAATGTTTGAGGAAATTATTTTGCTTCTATTTATAGCCTCTGTCAAAAGTCAAAAGACTATAAATACTTTGCAAAAAATGGTTTCACGTTTGCTTCATCAAAGTCACATTCAAAATGGTGACTCTAAACAAAGAAGAAAGCAGCACTATCATCAGATGCATGATAAACCAAAATATGAAAATGGCAAATGTTTAATTAACCTAGTAATCGGGTGGGTAAAGTACATGGGTGAATTTTATATGTGATTTTGTTTTGTTTTGTTCAGATTAACTGCTTATAGCCTTAGAAAGCCTTTTACAAAATTAAAAAAAAAAAATAGATGTGCATTCAGTTTTTAAGAATGGATTCATCCAAAGGAATTCCTTTTTTTTTTTTTCTTTTTTGTGGTTTGGATGTTGCAGCTAGTAAAGGATATTTTTGCTCTGTTCAGCAGTTCTAAAAACTGCTGAAGTAGGGGCCAGGTCACTGGTAGTTATAGTATGGAATGGGAGAAGTGAAAGTTCAGTTATAGAACTTTCCATACTTCCAAGTTTACTGCAAGTTTTTATGCTTGAGAGAGATGCTTTCTAATATAAGACTGATGTGTTGATTTTACTGATTGTACTGTACATCTATTAAAGCCTTAGATTATTACATTACGGGTTGGAACCCATACCAATGTAATTTCAATCGTGTTAAGAGAGTAATGGTGACTTCACATGTTATTGTAGTTAGTTACATTATAGAATATTACTTATTTTTCTTGTTAAAATGTAGTTTTTCATTTCCTACATTTATTAGATTTTCATTTTCTATTAACAATTGAATACCATTTCAGTTTATAGACTATTGTTTTATTAGATTTTACTGATGAATTTTTCAAAATACAAAAAAAATTAAAGTAGTTTTTCCTTCATAACATACTCAGTTTTGAATTACATGTAGTGTCATATGGATATTCGTATTATTGTTAACTAAATGATTTATATTTTACTGATTTAATATTACAGTGTAAGAATGTCAGTCATTGTTAGTTCTTGTCTAGTTTTCATTAAAAGAACAAAGATCTTTTATATGGATATCTTATAAATATATAATCATTGCTAAGTAAGAAGTTAAGTTGTTGCTATCGCAACAATCCTGGCAGACAATTGAGTAATATTTTGATGATTTATTTTGTTTGTAATTAGTTATTATAAGAAGATCTAGATCCTAGATATTAGAATAAAATTTATTTTCTACTGTATCCATTTCAAATGTTAAAGTATTGTTTAATATTTTTGAAATCCCTGAATATCAGGCCTTGTTATAAATAAGCTGCATAATCAATAAATAGAACAAGGGACTTTTTGTTGATAATCCAAATACTCAAAGTTTACGTAATGAGAATTATAGTGTGTGTGCAAACTCTTGAGGGTTGATTATGCTGCAATTTAGCATGTTGGAACGTCTAGAGGGAAGGTTGACTTTTTGCACTTCTGTATATAGTCAAAAGAGAGAAACCTGTATAATAGTAAGATCTTATTTTGAATAAAAACGTCTATAATTACAAGGAGTTTTGTTAAGGCTAATAAAATGACAGACTGAGCAAAATTGCTTGCAAAAGTGGCACAGAGTTAGCACTCCATACCCCTTCAAACATGTTGCTTTGCTTTTTGTGGACAGCTTGTAGTTTGCCAGGATATTTTCAGCTGGAAAGATAATGTCATCCTTCCAAGATCTCATGACTGACAAAAACTCCATTGGGCCAAATCTGCCTGAAGATCATTACCAAAAATAGCAGGTACTTCGACCATTAAGGTGAAATCATGGATCAAATATTCCTTACATTTTTCAAAACTACTGCATGTTTAAAACTTCAAAAAGAAAAAAGAGAGGAAGAACTATACTAAGGACATATATTATTCAAATCAGTTTCTGCCAATTTCAGTGGTTTATTGTTCACAAAAAGAAATCTTCAAAACGAGTATTGACTTTCACAAAATTAAACCATAAACAGGCAAACCAAACAGCACACCGTAGCTATAGTTGTTATGTGATTGTTTTTTAATTGCTGTAGGATCCTGTTCTTTCAGCAGGTGAAAAAATAAGACACAGTTCAAATTTCACGTTTTAATTTACAATGCAGAAGCACTCAAAAAGGCAAAGTGTGATAATGGGCACTTGTTTAGCGAATTAGTCTATCCAGCCTTCACTCCAGCTGGTTAATAATGTTGCACTTATCAGCAACCCTACCACTTTCATCTGCTGAAAGGACAAATGTGCTTGATTTTACTATTATGTAATCACAACTTACTTTCTGCTTGTAGTTGCTTAAAATTATGTATTTTGTCTTGGGCTCCAATTTGTTTTATGCTTATTTTATTATTACTGCAGTAGTTGACTTTGCTGTATGGAAAAATAAAGTGAAATTGCCCTAATAAAACTTCTCTTTCTTAAGTATATTTGTGTATCTGAGATTGAATAGCGAAGTGTTTTTGTGTATTTCATGCAGCCATGCATATACATCTTTAGGAACGTCTGCTGTGCCATTTCATTATATGGTGTTAATGGATTGGAAAGGAGGCATTTACTTCTTTCTCACTAGTTATCTTTTGGATACCGAGGATCTGAATCATATACATTGCCGTTCTATGCCCAGTGTCTTCTAAAAATTGACCCTTTTCTGATACTCCAGGGCTGACTGGAATTTAAAGGGGAAAGCTATAACAGTAACAACCAAAAAAAAAAAAAAAAAATCCATCAATTCTAGATCACTGTCTTTTAAGAAATGCTATTTCCTTGAGTGATCAAGTTGACTGGCACTGGAAATAAGCCAATCTAAGAAAGTGTTTCAGTAATGAAATACATATGCCACGCCATTCAGAAGGATGGAAGTGTTTATGCATATACCCAGCTGAGCCAAGCCAGGCTGTAACTCCTGAGCGTGAGTGCGTGTGTGCTTGCATTATATACAGATTCCCCACAATGAGTGTAATCACTGTGTACTGCAAATGTATTAATAAAACATTTTTAAATATTTTGTTTAAACTAAGGTCTCAGTATCTCTCATGGGATTTTCATGCTGCAATATGTATAGATAGCCAGTGAAGGCAGAAGTTCCATTATGCAGAAAATTTGTATATTTGATCATTTAGTTCTAAGGTACACTTAGCCACTTGGTATTTAGTCAAAAGCTACAAATTCTTTTAAAGTCATCCCTCTTTTTTCCCCCTGAAACTTAATGCAAGCATCAGAAGTGCATTATTTATAATTGATACAGTTTATGATTAGCACAGTTCTATTTCTGGTGAGTCTTATGGGAGATTTTAGTTGTTCTCCTCAAGTGAAACTATTCTAGATGCTGTTTATGGGAAAGAAAATGGCAGGCCTACAGATGATTCTGTAAAGCTAAGGGCCATGACTTTTTGAGGACATAAAGACATTGGCTCTCCAGTTAGTGATAGTATCTTGGATGTCTTCTAATTGAACAAACTATAACAAAAAGCGATTATAACTTTTCAGTGCTCTGAGTGAAACTGTATTTTATTAACATAAGAGCAGTTGAATGCATCTGAAAATGGTGGGTAAGATTCTTTTTTCTCCAAACAATATTTATTATTCAGAAGCTAGTACTGCTCTGGAGCTCACTAGGGATGAGGATGATCACATGATTCTCTTAGAAGTCACTTTCTTCTTTCTCACTTATGGGAACAAAATCATTCGCTAGAACTACTGCTTTATACTAGACACTAGGGCAATAATGGCGAACCTTCTAGAGCTTTCAGTGATACAGACAACTGTTTTACATGTGCCATAGGTTTGCCACTGCTGACCTAGGACATAACCTGTTTTATTGTTTTTTTTTTTGTTTTTTTTTGTTTTTTGTTTTTCTCCGGTACCGGGAACCGAACTCACGACCTTGCGCTTGCCAGGCAGGCGCTTTTGCCACTGAGCTAAATCCCCAGCCCCCATAACCTGTTTTAAATGTTCAAAATGGATTGTGTTGACAACGTGAACCAAAACAGTGAAATTGAGACTTTTAAAAGTGCAAAGATTTGCTCTGAACTCTCCTGATCTAAGACGATATGGTGATGCCTTATTGAAGTGACTTGAATGTGGCCATGTGCTGTTGCCATCCTTAGCCTGATCTCTGACACCGTCCTTTGTAGTACGGTCAGCCCCACCACCCCTGGAAAGGCTTTGGCACCTACAGTAGTTGGGGTGAGTAGTAAACCTGGAAATATCCCAGAATGTTGTTGGCCAAGGCCACGCAGGGCCATGGCTTCCCCCTTAAAATTTCCCAGGAGGTGGATTCCCAGTTCTCTGGACAGCAGGACAGCATGCTGGTGCGTGCTAGGGTGACTTTGACCTGGGGCTCGTGACTCTCCCAGTTCTGCTGTGGGACCTCCTCTGCGGTGTCTGCACTTGTGCTGTTCACCTGCATCCCGTCCTGCTCGCCCCAGTGGTGGCTAGGGACCCAGGGGGAGGCTCTACCGCTTGTTACCTTCTGCTGCTTCTCAGGAATCTGGCTCCCTCTCTGTTCAGGATATCTAAGCACCTTTTGTTGCACGAGCTTTTTCTTTGTTTATGTTGCTTTTCTTTTACTAATTAAATGTTAGGAAATGGAAAAACGGCCCATATCTTTCATTTCTGGAAAAAGTAGCAGTGGCCAGGTAGAACCCAGAAAAATAAAGTCTGTTGCCGTTAGCCACCTGTTAGGATTTTCTGAAATAATTTACTGAATCAAGTGTGCTAGTTTTTTTTCCCCCTCCTTGTTGAGTTTTGTAAAGACAAAACTTACAATTTCCTTTTTAACAGACAAAAAATAAACGTGAAACTTTATTCATAGTGGTTGGGACCACTGGACTATGTAAATTTTAACTGCCACTCTCAGTCATATTTTCCCCTTTGTAGACACGTGGAATGGTGCACATTTGATCTTTAAACTTAGAAATGTTTAGCAATGGGTTAAACTGCAACTTTGGGTTGGGCTTTGTGATCTGCTGACATGAACAGAATTTCATGTGAGGGAAATTCAAATTATTGCATCTGCTACCTGTGCAGGATCATGAGTACATCTCTGTGGAAATTAAAAAAAAAAAAAAAAAAAGCAGCCCCGCCTCTACTGGAAGTCCCCATATTTACGTAACCTCGGGCTCCAGGGCCAGACTTACTAAATCTGTTCTGGCAATAGATACACAGGTTCCACAAGGGACTGAATGTGGAGTTGTACCCTCAAATTATAACCGAAAGGCAGATTATTTGGACTAGGACAGCTGTGACCAAGATTGCCTTTGCAGAAAGGAGGTGTCCTCAGAAGGCAGACCACAGCTATAATGGATTTAAAAATAAGCAGTCAGAGTGGCTCTCAAAGTCTGGAAATGGGTGAGCTGTCTGCAGAAGTACATTCATACTTGAATTTAAGTTTAGAGCAATAAAGTAATGAACTAAAATTTAGTCAAGCTGATCTCCAGTGTTCACTTAGACTGACAGATAGTACATTCAGCGGGAGGAAATTAGAGAGTGAGAGAGTGGCAAAGCTAAGCAGAAACACTTGTGAGATCCCACAGTGGAGCATACGGGCATACTAAGGTGGAACAGAGATGTGGGACCAGAAGCCCACAGCAGAGGCTGAATAAAAGCGGCCTCAGTATTTGACACCTAATGGTAAAAACCAGGACATTGCCAAGGGGCTTTGGTAATAGGAGAGATCTCTCGTTTCCCCTGCTTTGCTTTACTATCAGATCTTTTCTCAAGTCCACCTAATTTCCAGACAGGGGCTTGTGTGGTCTCTGAAGAGAAGCGTACATACTAACGTGGGTGATGGAATAGTGAAGGCAGAGAGAAAGGCTGACTTCCACACCCTTGTGGGTGGGGAGGATGGTAACTGCCACATATGTAGGAACAGAAACTGCGCAGGGGAAACTTCCTAATTATCTTTGAGTGCCCTAAGAATTTTTTACACTCATAAAAATGCAAAGCTTCTAAAGCATTGGGCAGACGTTCCCTCAGTTAAGGTCAAAAGGTCTGCAATCAGAACACCTGGATTCATGTCTGTGTCTTAGCATGTGGACTTTGACAAAGCCGTTTCAACTTTAATAAAACAGGGGGCTGGGGATTTAGCTCAGCGGCAAAAGCGCCTTCCTGGCAAGCGCAAGGTCGTGAGTTCGGTTCCCGGTACCAGAGAAAAACAAAAAAACAAACAAACAAAAAAAAATAAAATAAAACAGGAAAGGAATACGTGTCTTCCAGGGTTGTGATTGTCAGAGTTTGTTGCAGATTGGAATTATTTCAGTGATCTTTGAGAAGTATTAATACTTGTTTCCCATTTCCAGCCGTTCTGATTTAACGCTCCATGGAAGAAACTACTTGGTTAATACATACTGAAGTGTTACAGATACGCCTGACATAGAGCTAGCAATTAATAATGTTTATTATGATGGCTATTTTGGTTATTTTACCAGTCACCCCCCTGAATTTTAAACTTTTTATCCTAGTTCTAGCATTCCATATCCCTTTCAAAGCAGCTGGATACACACTATCCGTTTATGCTCTCTGCACTTCTTTTTCTGTTCAGTAGTACTGAAGCTTTAACTTCCTGTAATTCACCACAACAGGTCCTGCTCATTGCTTCCCTTCTGGCGAGTATTTTAAAAATAGAATCCAGTAAGTTTTTATTCTGAAAAACTCTTTTGTATGCATAGTTCCTCTTCTAGCTTGATATGGCCACAGACCATACCTAACTCATGTCAAATTGAAATTAGCCATTTAGACACACCTGAACTTAACTCTTTGAATCGCCTTTTATGTTTTTATTCCGTACTGAAGATAAAATGATAGAAAGGATGCATTATCATAAAAATCATGCCATTATATATTTGTTAGAAGTTCTAATAATATCTGAGGGTCACTAACATTTCCATGTCATATTTTACCATATGCTGCTTTTATGTGTTTAAATTGACACTGACTCAGCTCAGCAAACATATACTAAGAATCTAGCAATATGCCAAGCTCTGAGATCTAAAGATAAATGATAAAGAACCTTAAAATGACTAAGATACATAAAATGTCGAATTTCCTTTGATTTTGCACTTAACTTTTTCCCATCTCCCACAATAGTCTGTTACTCTACTACATACTAGTTAAGAAGCAGATTAAGTGAAAATTAGGTTCTCTTCTTCAATAAATTGATATGACCACCCTACTCATTGTCTAATTGGTTTTATCTTTAAAATGTAACCTGAATATTAAAACAATATATATGGATAGTACAATGCAAATAATTTCATCGTAGCTTTTAAAAATTTATTTTTAACTGATGTACAAAAACATAAAAATTATACATATTAATAGAGTGATTGTGATATTTTTATACATATATGCATTGTATATATTTAAATCAGAGTAAACATAGCTACCTCTTCACATAGTTACTTTTCTAGAAAACATTTAAGCTC